CCCTTTGTGCCTCGCTTCGCGAGCTTCGGTACTCTCGCGTAAAAAAAAAAAGGGCTATTTTCAAATCCTGGGGAGAACCCTGCAAATGTACATTGTACTGTAGCCTTGACACTAAGGCTCTATTCCCATAGGTTTTAGATAGATCTATCCCCGCGGGGAGTCTCACTAGATTACTTTCAGATAATCCGACTTAAATGTCCGTCCCGCCTACTACAAGCTGTAAGGAGGTAATTAACTTTCGTGTCCGCCCGGCTGACAGCTATTTAGCTTGAACCCCCAGGGAGTTAGGTCGATCTAAAGTAGGTCGATCTAATCTTTGGAAATAGGGTGTAATTGACAATAATGCTAACAGGTATTAAAGAGGTAGATGACAGCAGATAAAATCCGAAAAGCACCATAACTGTTAACAAATTACACCTAAGGCAATGAAGTGAGTCTTCATAATGAAAGTCGAAACCTTGCCTGGGTATTTTGTAGAGCTTGTCAAGCATAACACTGAGGGTGGTGTCCCTTCTTTTGCTTTTCCATATGCATGCACTTACTCCAGCTGGTGGTACAATACCCGGAGTCAGTATAGCCTCTCTGATCTAGTTTTTAAAAGTTTCATTTTCAAGAAGTGTGATCATGTGTGTCATGATAAAAGAACCACACGTACCTGATATTTGAACAATTATTTATGCTTTTTAGTGTAAACTTAGGCAGTCTAAAAGGAAAATAAAAAGAAAAGTATTCATACACTTTAAACAATCTAAATGTATGGGCCAAAGCTCAGAAGGTAACATTGCATACAAAAAAAAAATAATGACATCGAACCTCATTTGTGAAGGAAAAAGTATAACGGCATTATGTAAAACCTATACATATAGTTAAAAATAAAGCTCAGCTATGATTGAATGGGGTAGGGGGGATTATACCAAAGTACTATGCAATGGTTATATGCTGTGTGCCCAACACTAGTGACAGCGAAAAGAAAAAACACTTTTGACCTTCTCCGGTAGTTTCAATTTTTTAAATTCCATTTTCTAGATAATAAATAACCATGCATGCATTCACTAAAAAAATGTAACACCAAAGTTTTATTTCTAAGGATTGGTATTATCAAGAAATCAAGGTAATACCCAGCGGGCAAATTATGTTGTTTTAACATTCGACTTTGTCAGAGAAGGAAGTGGTGTCTATTTCAGGCTCTGCATCAGAGTTAAGCTACTCATGATTTAAACTTAGTTTTCAAACAAAACACAAAAAAAGTCATAAATCTCAAGAAGTCTTTTTTCTCATTATGTCTTTAGTTCCAGCTTTCATAAATCCTAAGACCGCATTCACAACGAGTTGAGCCAGGCTTTACAAATCCTTGGGACTAAATATGGCAGACGTACATGAAAGAAAAACCGCCTAATCTTTTAATAGTCTCTCCGCCTCTCACACGCCACTCCATGCGTCGTCCCTGCGGGGGTGCAGTCATTAAATTTCGGCTCCATTGGGACGACACATGGGGAGGCATGTGAGAGGCGGAGAGACTATTAAAAGATTAGGCGTTTTTTCTTTCATGTACGTCCGCCATATTTAGTCCCCAGGATTTGAAAAGCCTGGCTCAACTCGTTGTGAATGCGATCTAAGACATGTATAATTGCATCTGAGTAACTTCTGGCAACAAAAACAACTAGCACTTGACTCCTTGTTGAGAAGCTGGCAGTTCAGATAACACATGAAAACTTAAAAAGTGTTATCTAAATGTCTTATCTAAATTTCTGTGGTCAGGTTAAGTATATGCCAGTACTGGCAGTAACAGTCCATGAACATATAGCAAAGCACTTTGATCATATGTTAATTATGAAATCATTAAAAAAAGAATGACACTTGCATATGAAGCTATAGCTGCAACAACAACAATAGATACTGACAGTTGCTCTGCATAATAAATAAAAAATAATAACTGAGGAAACGATCACACAATAATACAGCCAAGATAGAAATATTTCCTTTTCTTTAACCTAATATTGTAAAAAAAAATCTAGTACATGAAATTCATAAAAGCTATACTGCAGTGTCATGTGCTAAACAAAAAGTGTATTCTAGGTTGTAATATAAGGACCCTGCCACCTCACCTCCCCTTCCTGACTAAACAGATCGTCATATTTGGTAGTGGTTTTACCTCAAAATATACATGTTCTATACCAAGGAATATATGCCATGCATGTACATGTACATCTTGCCTGTATTCAAAACATGTATGAATAGAATTTGTAGTGTCAAGAAAAATACGAAAAAAATTGTCAGTGCTAATAACAAGTACGTGATAGTTGAACTGAACATACTGACCATAGCATATTAAACATTAGAATCAGAAAGTGAAAATAACATAAATACCTTTGCTAAATGTCTGAAATATTTCTCTGTTCTTAAGTTTGGCTACATTCACCAGAGACCCACATTTTATTTGTCCGCCTGCCCAACTTCATTCCACGTGTTTCCTTTCCACTTGTCAAATTTGTTTATGAAAAATTTTATAAATAGGTCAACATATAATCTCCTGCATAAATGATATCAGAATACATAAACACAGGTCCCTTTCTTTGGATCATTTTTTTGTATAAACGATAAAATCCCATTGATAAAATCTAAACAGAAGGGGAGCAATTTTCAAAGTGCACCTACAAAGTACTGGGTT